CTAAACAGTGAGAGGAAAGCAAATGCTCAGTCCAGCCTCAGCAACTGGAGGGGGTTGAGATAAATTTTGGAGTTGAGATAAATTTTGGATACTCATCCCCATTGCAATGGTCAACCATTCCCCTCTTCTTTTCCTCAGATTCCATTCAAACAGCTGCTCTCTGCCTCTACCAGCCTTCCCCCAACCCATACACCACCTTCATACAAAGCACCCTCCTGCACTTGCTGTAGGGTGGCTGCTGCTGGGAGGGCGACAGTGACACCCATTCCCTTGCACAGGATTAACGGTGCAGCTCTCTGAGATGGGCTGCGTGCGTTCAGCTGCTTAAGGCTGTGTTGTCTGTGAGGGCAGTTGTTCCCTGCCTCCACAAGGCAGCAAGTGGGATGGGAGCCTCCTGTGCTGCACAGAGCCACATGGCTGGATTTTGACACGCATAAGCTCCAGCCCTCAAATTATTTTGGGCTCTTGAGAGTTGGGTTTGAACGTACCCAGAGGTAGAGAGTGACTAATAACAGCAAATGGTGTTAGACTTTTGCTACCGTTATTTTAGCCACTAGGAATTCTCTGAATTCTGGTTAATACTTTTGCAATAGCTGACTGACCTAGTTATTCTGAACAGAAGCTGTAGTCTGTATTCCTCTTGTGTCAGCCAGGGATTTCAATCTGCATTTCTATAGCATCTTTAAGGATCGCAGCATGCTTGAAAAAACAACAGATTAAGCCGCCTCTGTTCTGTGGGAGTTAAGCATTGTCACAGTCATTGTACCAGTGCACAAAATGACTTTCCCAAGGTGACCTGGCAAATCTGTGGAAAAGGTAGGCTACACTGACTTTCTGCTGCGGTGCTGCCATTGCAGGACTGATTGTCCTGACTTTTGTGGGAAGCAGCACATGCACCTTTTGTAGAGGGTGGCACAGACTTGTCTGGTGGAGCATGACGTTACTTCTATTATAACCTAATATGTCTGTAAATTTTTGCAAGTAAAAAATCTGGAAGAAGTGTGAGATGGCTGTGATCCAAGCTGTATTGATAGTATCTGCAGGGAATGTCTACCAAGCCACAGGAATTTAACCAGTAGCAAAAGAGCGTGTGCTGTGTTCAGGTGATCCTCTTGAGCTTTAGTTTCAACTCCTCATCAGAGTGGGGGTTAAAATTTTTAAAGAGAGTCTGCTGTTTTCTTACTCTCTTTAAGCTTAATCTGCTTTGTTGCCTATGTTCTCAGCTCTCGCTGCTCCAGCCTATTGTTCTCAGTCTGGCAGAATTTGTAGGTCCTCATGCTACTTTCCTTGCTGGCTATGCTTTGCTCCACCAGTTGGAGTTGCCTGGCCCAGGAGAGCCTGGCTGTGATCCTGCCCTAGTGCTGATGAGACCCTGAAGCTGCACAAATTTTCTTCTTTCGTGTGACCCAGTGTGCATTGTATTTGGTGGTGTGCATATAGTGAAGGGGGACTCCAAGCACCGCACTGCCCTGCCAGATTTGAGCATGGGAATATGTCCTGATCTATAACAGCGTGCAGTGCTCTAGCAGAGGTGATGAACTTGCTAACCCAACTTCCAGTCTTCAACTCTGGTGCATTAGTTTTTTGTTTTGAATGGGGCCAAAAAAATGGAAAATTGATTAGATTGTAAACCTCTAAGATGCTTACAAGCACACTGAATGAGCTTATGCAGTGGGAGTGCAGATGAGGCTTTGTACTGCTGGGATCTCCAGGACACTACCTTTATAATGTCAGCATTGCATAGCAAGCAGGAGGACAACCCTAACATTAGAGCTAGCAATCCAAATAGCGCTCTCTTGAAATTTTCTGCCCACCTCTGAATGCAATAGCCTTGGGGAAAGTTAGCTAAACTGTAAGCACTTATTTAAAGTGAAACTGCCTCTGGATTGCTCCCTCCTTATCTCCAGTCCTGGCTAATGTCATGTGTTGATTATGAGACTTGCAGACTTGATTCCTATCTTGTGCTTCCTCCCACCAGTTGATGCTGATGCTTTGTGAATTTGCAACACACCCTTTCTCCTAGTGACCCCTTTGTCCCAACTGTTGGTGTATTTTTTCACTTCCCTGGCCAGCTTACTCTGGATTTCAATGGCCATGAAAGAGAAGAGGGTCCACACTTCTTTGATGGAAGTGCATTTGTGCCTCCTAGCAAATCCCAGAGCTCAGAGGAGCCCTGCTAGAAGGTCTAGCTCTGAACCACAGCCTAGCTCCATGGGTGGAATTGCCTTAGCTCCTACTGAGATTTCCTGAATGCATCAGATTTACTGTGCCTTGGCACAGTAGACTTGCCAGTAGGCTTCTCCTGGAAGCTTTGTTGAAGCAGGATAAATTTTTCTTAACAGCTTGCCCACTTCCCACAAGCTCCAAACAAGTGGCCAAGTATGTTTCTCCTGGCTGAGGTAGAAGAAAGGCATCATATATAGTAGAGTTGCCCTTGGTGTCTCTAACATTTTGTTTTGAAGGTTTTAAGTGCCCGGTCTTGCCTGTTGGCATAATAAAACGTTGAAAAGGTTTGGGTTTTTTTTTTCCTCTCATAAACTTCTGCTCCAGTAGAGATGAAATGGGCTTAAACGGAATCTGTTGCAGCAACAGTGCAGGACATGAGGTACTGGTGCTTTCCTGATGCAGTGACATGGATGGGCAAGGTGAGAAAAGAGGCGAGATCAGCAGTTTTGATCTGAAATTTGCTACGCTTTGTGTCTGGGGAGGGGACATGGAGTATGGAATGGCCATTACTGTGTAGATAAATCAGGCATTCTGCGATGCAAGCATTTAGTCAATGTAACCTGCAGCTATTCTTGCTTGCCAGTTATGGCTGCCATAGCTAAGACAGACAGGACCTGAATGAGCAACATAAAGTATAGCAACTGTGGGAGGAGTGGGGTGTGTATGCATGTGTTTATATAAATGTGTGAGTATAATTATTTATATTATCTTGTGCAATTCTCTAGGTAAGAAGGGAGCAGTGGGCAGGGAAGGAGCAATGAAATATTTAATAAAGGGACAATTGCTAAAGGGGAAAATTAGAGATGCATCACTTTTACTGGGAAATTTTTCTTCAAAGTGTGTAGGACTGCTGGGACCAAACTTGTGAATAGAAAGACTGGAAAGTGTCCTAATTTTTCATTAAGATTGTAGGCAGGAAAGGTTCACACCATCTCAAAGCTGCCTTGGTTTCATCTAAGCTTGTGTCTTGACAAGTAAAATCAGGTTCTTCCATTTATAAAGAACTTGCGTCTTATTCTAGATGACTGTGTTAGCATGTAAGCCCAGGAAACATAATACGTATGCAAATCTGAAGCCAGTTCCAAGCCTGGGTGACTCCTTGTAGAATATAAATGACGTTTCTTTGTGACGCTCCCAAAGCTATCGTTGCGTAGACAACCCCTCACTGATTGGCACATCAGCAAAGCACATATGCCACAGATGACAATGATGGTTTGCACACACTTGCATTTCCTCCGCACTTATTCCAGAGCAGGATTATGCTCTGTTTCCTCACTTCTGATCCTCCACTGCACTGCTTCTGCCTTGCGAGTTCCAGTCTTTTGGAGAAAGAATGTTGTCCCCCTCTCTTGATTGTAGTTTGTTATTTACTACTATTAACATGAACTTTTCCTTTTTTGATTACATCTGTGTATGGGGCCTGTCCCATAGGAGGAGACAAGCTAATCCCCAGACAGAAAGGAACCTGGCTAACTTTATTTCCTATACCCTAGGGACGCTGCTGTGAGGTAGCAGGCAGGAAACCTCAGTCTCTTTGGCAGGCTCTGGCAGGCAAGGACCTGCAGTGTAATGCAGAAGAGGTGACTGCACTTTGAGGAAGCAACCTTCCATAACATCGCTAGCAGGTCTGGAAATGTGGATTATGAACCTCAGACCATCAGCTACAATGACGGGGTTTCCTTTATGTTCTCTATATGAACACCAGTTCTGTTCCTTCTCCATAATATTACTGTAGATCTTGTGCTGCATTCCAACTACATCTGTGACTCTTTTTGTTGTACAAAGATACTGCAGCCTAGTTAGGTGGGACAATTAGGTAGGAAAGAAAATGGGAATGGGGGAACATGGCTAAAAGGTCACTGGGCTGCCCCACCTCTGCTGGACAAGCCACTCCTGGCAGAAATGATGACAGCCTAATGATTATTTGTAGCATGTCATTCATTTATTTATTTTAAGAGTGGTTCAACAAAAACAACATTAAAAAAAAAATCATGGGGGTGTATTTTTAAGGCTTTTATCTTTGCTCTTTGGACCTAAAAATATCTTAGGGTTAAGCCAGCATTGTTAGTGGTCTAGAGAGACAAAGAATCCTCTTTATTTGCAGTGCAGAAAGAGCAGTTGATGGGTTTGCTGACATGAACTCTGACCTCTCCCGGGCTGTAATCCCTAAAGTGTCCTCTAATGATGCCCCCTTTCACCTATGCCCATCCACCACTGCTAGTGGTGGAGCTGGTGTCCTATGCAAGAACGCAAGTCGCTTGTGGAAATGTCTGTTTCCAGGAGTCGGTAAACCCTGAGGCACGGCACAGGCAGCGCAACAGGATTATAGGGTGATACTAGACTTCAGACCTTGCAGCACTGACTCATGCTGAAGCGACAGGGGAAAAGTAAAAGCGCCAGGTCATGTGCTGCTCATTTGCAATGCAAATAAATTGGTGAATTCTTCTATAGCCAGCCATATAGCAAGCAATCAAACCTTTCCTGCCAGGAATGACAAGGAATTGGTGGCAGGTCCTGAAATCTGCAGCCAGGCGACACAGGCAGAGATGTCGGGATTCGTTAGAAATTGCAGCAGTTCTAGGCCCTGAGGCTGTGGAGCCGAGAGAGAAGAGCTAACGAGCAAGTCAGAGCTTTAATAAGTCAGCAGTGAATTGGGGGGGTAAAAAAGGGTGGAGGGGAATGGGAGATGATCTCCCCAAGGTTCTTGCCTGAGACCCAGCAAACCTCAGTGCCCAGGTGTGACTCTGAGATCTTTCTCTCTCTCATCCCCCTAGGGACCAAAAAAGGAGAAGACGGTGAGGAGAAGGCAAGATGGTCCCAAGAGGCTCTGCTGTTGGCATCTGTCATTTTCCTTGGAACAGGAGTCTGAGGCTTCTCAGCGCTGAGTGCTTCTGTGTCCCATCTACTACCACACCCTGAAATCAAACTCGGCAGCTTAGGTGAACGAGGCACTGTACAAACATGTCAGACTTGCCTCCACCCCTTTTTCTTCTCCCACTTTCTCCTGCCGTCTTTCTCTCTCAAGTTTATCGGCGAGTCAGCGGATTCCGGTGGCAGAGCATTCCCACCTTACCTCTGGTTACGGAGCCATGAGGAGTCAGGGGTAAGCTCCCTCCCGCAGATTTGGGGATCAACATTGACTTGCTTGCTTGCTTTAAAGCAGTAACAACACCATCCTAATGGCCGCTGTTTCGTGCGATTTGTTTCCTCTGTTTACAGAGGACTAGGTTTGTCAGTTTGAACTAACATCTTCACTCCCCAGTGGCTGTGCTGCTACGGCTTAACCCCTTCCCTTCGGAGCTAAGTCTTGCCACTGCCAAGAATTAGCGTAATGATCACAGTGTGTTGGCAGTGCCAGCCTAGGGCAAAGTAAGAGAGGAATGGTTCGAGGGGTCATACAATTTTTTTTCTCTCGAGGGACGGTTCTGGAAGAGAAGAAAACCCGGGAGCTGGATTCCTTTGGGAAGGAGTTTACTTCATCTTTACTCCTATAGCCCAGCAACACCGTCCTCCAATCGGCTTTGCTGCATGACAGTGGGAGAGTTTCCCTCCAGACCCTTCTTTCTCCTCTCACTTGGAATTGTCCTCTACCAGCACTGTTGGAGCAGGACTGCCAGTAAGATCTTGCATTTTTTGCTTTCCAGTGTCTTTTAGGTGGGCTGGTTTATGGGTCTGTGGTGCCTGGGATCTAGCAATTTAGCTTATTGACACTCGAGATGATGGGGAATGGGGAGAGGAAAATGCATTGTTGAATCTTGCAGGGTGATGCTCTTAAAACATTGGGGTGAAAAAGGGGTTAAAATTACTCTGGATGATGCTTGAGAAAGCAGACAGCATGTCAGGAACATGCATGCTCATTGCCTTTATGTAAGACATAGCAATATCTCCTCTTAAGTCTCTTGAATCTGCAAGGACCCTCACCATATCTTATGAAGAGGTCTAATTGACTCACCAGTTAAAACCCCTCGTGTCCGTATTCCTGACCTTCTGGCTGCTGTGCTAGCCAAGATCCTTTCAGCACACCTACTGAAACTACATTGTAGTACTCATGTGTGTATGGGTGTGTGAGTGTATTTTGGCTCTCTGAAAGCTGGCTGATCTCCTCCTATTTAAGTTACAATCTACAATTCTATTGGGCATTTGTACTTAATTATTTTTGTCAGGTGGTAACTAACATAAACAGCCAGGTATTTACAGCTACAGAAAACAGTCCTGTCCATTTTTTGCTGATGCGTTTGCTCTCTTCTTTGCCAGGACGTTAATGCTTTAATGTATTTGGGGACAGAGTACTGAAAAAACAGAAGAGAAGTTTGTGGCTGGTGAGTGTGAGTTCTTGGGTGAGGCTGGGGGAAGGACGTAGAGTAAGAGATACTTGCTGAGTCTTACTCTGCTTTTCTGAGTTTTGTGCTTGGGTAAAACCTGAGTCAGCTCCTACGTTGCTGCTGGGGAAAGGAATGTGTTGCTGCATGGCTGTCTCTCAAGCCCTGTCCCACTGAAAAGTCTCATTCTTGATGGTGTGATGAAGCTGTGTATTGATTTTAATATTGTACACTGCCTTGGTATGTACATCCTGTGTGCTAAGTGTGAGCAATGGTTTATGTATCTAGTAGCAAACCTGATCAAACAGTGGAAAGAGCTATCAGCAAACAGTTTGCTGGATTAGCAACTGTGCTTCCAGATGGAAAGTCTGTTCCCTGTACAGGGGTTGTTTCTGTCTAGATGGGTGTGAATATGTATGTACCTGGAAAGAATATCCTGGGTCCTGCTGACAAGGCTTGCAAAAGTGAGAAACATAACTCTTGCTTGGTCACAAAATGGTTTTCATTCACAAGGAGAAGCACTATAAAAGTTTGGTTGTCCTGCCTCCAGTCAGAAAAAAAGAGCACTTTTTAACCTACTTCTCTAATGTGCTTAGGGAAATTCATAAGCAGAGAAAAGAGCTAAATACTTTGTGCAAATTGCTTAAAACAGTTTTGACTAGCCTACACCAACTGCAAGTAAAAACTCAGCCAGGTTCTGAGTTCCGCTTTGCACATCATGTTTTCTTGAGGGTACCAATAGAGGTACCTTGCTGAAGTTTCGTCACATTCAGAGCTGCACAGCAGTTCTGTACATGTACAGGACATCAGCTCTGAAGTTGGCAAGAGCAGCTGAAGGCTAACCAGTATGTTGTGCTGCACAGCACTGATAGCTGGAGAGAGTACAGCAAGCTTTCATATCTTGCCAAGGGAGGTTCTGGACTAGGGGAGCAGTTTTCTTGTGTGTTATACTAACCTTGCTCTTGCACCAGCCTCATTGGTTTCTAAGTTATAACCGTATAAACTCAGTGCAACGGAGTACAGAATCAGGACTTGGCTGATGCAGGTCTAGTTTTAAGGAATTTCTCAGTATAGTTTCTAAGGTTGCAGGAGGATTACCTGGCTTGAGGACTAATGGACTGAGATTTGGTCATCGGTGATGATATTGTTTTGAGACTGATCTTCCATTTGTCTGGCGTAAGAGAGCAATGAGAATGTAGGGTGATGATAGACTAAAAGTTCAAATCTATTTCCCTCAAAAAAATCTCAGGAAATTACATTTACCCTAGGGCTGAGCCATTTTAACTTGTACTGTTAGTAATTAGATTATTTTGTAATTAATTGATGAACAGAGTGTAGCTGTAGACAATAACTGTTATTTATCTCTACTTGAGTTACAAGTGCATCTCAGGTTTTAATGTATGGAGGGCTATGGGAACATTCATACTCGTGGCATGTGTTTTTCCTTTCCAAACAGAGCAGAATAACTGATACTCCCTAGGACAAGACTTGTCTGTTATGATTTAAATTTCCGTATCGGTGTTGGCAGTAGTGAGCAGGAAGGCACTGAGAGTCAGCCAGGTTGTGGGGTTTAAGCTAGTCTGTCTATGTTTTGGGGCACACTGCCTGGGCTGCAGTTTTCCCATCAGTTATCCTGTGGGAATAACACAAGTAAACTGCCTTGCACAGCAATTAAATATGTATGTATCTCACTTTAGGAGAACATGATGATCATAAATAGGGACTAAGATTGTTTAGTGTTGTTTGGAAGGAAGTTTAACTCTTGCATCTCTATACTTGGGTGGTCTGGGGAATCACAGTGGTGTCTCTGCCAGCCCTTTGCCATGCTGCTGGAGTGAGGACTGTAATCTAGTACATGCGTGATCGCCAGTGCCTCTGCTGGGACAGGTCTGCTTGCAAGCAATGGGCCACGCTCACTGAGTGTGCGACTCTTGCTTGGCTCCTGCCTGGTGCTTCCCTAAAGTACAGTCTGTACCGTGCACATTTGCAGCGCAGAGCTACAGCTTGCCTCTTGTAACCCGATGTGCCAGAGGCAGCTGGGTCTGCGATCCATGACGTGGCACGGAGGAGCACAGTGAGGTTACAGTGCTCAGATAGAGCCGCAGGACGTGGGACCCAGTGTTTCGAAGTGCTTTGTTTTGAAGTAGAGTGTTCCCCAGATGCAACCGAGTGCCTTGGCTCCTTTGTGTGTCATGTGACCCAGCATGCCAGATGTGGCCCCTTGTGCTTGTCCCAACATAACCTCCTATGTGATATGTAAGATGTTGCGATTCATGTGAATTTTTGGAGACAGAACCTTAAATGTTCTTATTCTAATCTCAGTAGTATTATTATGCTCATTTTGAGTGGATCTGTCACACAAGACGGTGGAGAGTGAAGCTCCATATCCTACCCTGTCTTGAAGCTCTTTGCTATTCTGGATCAATAGCGAAATACAGCCACTTGTTTTTAACCCTGATGGATCCTTCATGGCAAAATAATGCAGTAAACCCATTTGAAATAATGCAGTTGCTCTTTGGACATGGAACAGTGACATGTGCATGTGTAAGGCAGGTGTCAAAGAGATGCAGTGCTCTATGGTTTTCTATACCCAGAACAGGATACAGCCATGTCAGGTGTTTAAAAGGTGGGGAAAAAGGGTCATAGTTGTTACAGTGGCTTATGTCTCGGCCTTATGACCTGCAGCATACATCTGGCTGGCTTTGGGTGAAGAAGATGCAATGAGTCGCAGCCTTCTCTTGGCATTGCAGTGGTATTTGCTAGCTGCAACCCTCTCACAAACCAAATATAGATGGGAAAAGGCTAATCTTATAATGAAGGCATTGGATTCCAGTTGAGGTTTGGGTGTGAATTCTGTCTGTGCAGTTGGTTTCTGTCATGGTGTCTAGACCTACGTGCTGGTGTCAAGATCAAACATGTGGTCAGAGCATGTCTTGGCTCCCACTGGTGCTGTGCACCCATGTTTTCTCTTCATGGAAGCCAGGGTGTGTTGGGTCTGGATCTGGCCTTGATATGAAGTTAAAAAGCAGCCAGGAGACATACCTGGAAGCTCTTTTAGGTTTGCTAATCTAGACATAGCTGGGAAGAAACCAAGCTAGTAATTTTTTTTCTGTCTCGTCTGCAAATGAGGATAATAATTCCTTTTCCTTACCTTTTGTCTGTTTAGATGAAATCTTTGGAGGGTGGGGCATGGCTTCAGAGACTGGCACAATGGGACAGTGACTTCAGCTGGGATTTCTAGAGGATTGTAAATAATGGAAAACTTTATTATTTGTCAAGGGAAAAAGCCCATTAGCCTCTGGGACATGTCTGTACTGGTTTCGGAAAGTTCAGGAGGTCTTTTCTTTGCAAGTGCTTTTATGTGTCCCAGAATGAATTTGGTCTAGTATAGCTAAAACACACCTAAAAGTATGTCACTGAGCAGCGTCCAAAACAAGCTTAGCAAATAGGCGTTCACTGTGTTTCAGATTTTAGTCCTAATTTATGAGCAAGGAAATGGAGCAGGGGAGAAAGAGGCAGCACCATAGCTTTTAGACCCTGTTCAGTGGAG